ATGGATGGCTGGATGGATGAATGGGTGGATTGATGGATGGGTGGATGGCTAGATGGATGATTGGATGGATGAATGGTTGGATTGATGGATGAATGGTTGGATGGATGAATGGTTGGATTGATGGATGGATGATTAGATGGATGAATGGTTGGATTGATGGATGGATGATTGGATGGATGAATGGTTGGATGGATGAGTGGATTTCATCATCTTCAGTGTCACTGGATTATCGTAATGTCTGTGTTGACTCAGGTCATTTAGCTGTATTGGCCTTTTTGAAGCGAGCTGGCTCCAAACATTCACTTTTAGAAATCTGATGATTAATTTCTGCACGTTTTAATAAAATGCATCCAGCAGTTTGCCAGATATTTTGCTAACAGTCACATAGACATGGGTGAAATCATTATCATGTAACTTGTGATGAAGGTCACAAAGACCCGTTCTCTGTGTGTCAGAATAAGATGAGGTGAAGAGGATGGAGGATGAAGGCTCAGCTGTGAATGAAACGTGTACAAACTGAATCTGCAGCAGCTGCCTCCTTTTATCTGGCTCGGCTCGCCCTGGCTCGGAACACGTTGACGTCCCCTCGGCCCGCTCCCGCCCGCGGCCCTGTCTCTGACGCTGATTGCGGCTGGCTGCTGCTCCACAGAAAGGCCCGCAGCAACACGTTTATCAGCTGGTAATCAGCTGGCCCTCTGCACGCTTGGCTCGGCCTGCACCGCCGCAGCTTCCTGTCCGAGCTCTTTAGACGCCACGCGGCACAATCGGACATGATGTCTTATCTGGTCGTTGCTAACTGTGAGCAACTGCCGCTGCTCTGTGGAGGGGGAACAAATTTAGAGCCTGTTTTGTTTTTTTCGTTGTTTGAACGTGTGACGCTGAAACTTTTACGCAGACGTCCTTGATTCTTTATGAAAATATGAACACTGGAGCAGAACTGCATGTGGACATATTTGAGCTGAAGTTTGGTGACAAAGAGCCGACTTCAGCTCAAGCTGAGCATCAACTGATGATGCAACATCTGTGTTTAGAACCAGCAGGTACACGTCATTCATCATCCATCCGCCTATCTGTCCACCCACCCATCCATCATCCATCCATCCATCCATCCTCCACCCATCCATCCATCCACCCATCCATCCATAATCCATCCATCCATCCATCCATCCATCCATCCATCCATCCATCCATCTATCCATCCATCCATCCATCCACCCATCCATCCATCCATCCAACCCTCTGACCATCCACCCACCCATCCATCCATCCATCATCCACCTATCTATCCACCCACCTATCCATCCATCACC